TTGTTCCATAGTGTTCGGTCCATGGTATACACTTTCTTTATTAGATCTGACCATCTGGCTGGTGTATTGTCTATGAAGCGCTTGCCTTCTGTGCGACCAAATATATTGAGCTTCTTTTATTCATGTCTGGGAGACCGTATGATGTGTCCGAGGAATCCTTTAATTGATGTTTAGCTCTATTAAAATGTCACTAGTTGGTTTTCATGGCGATAATGGTATTCGGAGCATCTTCCGCCATACCCACATTTTAAAGGCATCGATCCTGTTGCTATCGTGGCTTGTTTATCTATATAGGGATATAAAACAACTACAAAAAACCGTAGTCTATCTCAGCTAATGTAATGCTTTATCGGTTGAAGTCTTCTTCCTAGTCGGATACTCTTGGCAGAGTAGTCGTGGCTGTCGATGGACAGGGTTGCGTCTCGTCATCGCTGCTCGCTTCCAAGGCCGCCGCACCTCCAGCAATGTTCCTCCATTGGACGCGGCTGTTAGCAATGCGATCACATTGTACTGCGGTGGTTTTCGTAGTGCTGGTAATGAGGTCGACCCAGCACGTGGGGAATCGACCTCGAGGTCTTCTGCCTTCTATAACATTTAAAAAAAAAACGATGTTGAAGTCTGCTTCACCTGAAAGACCTATTTCTTTAACGAATTTTTTTTTTTTATTAAAATTAAAATTAAGTTTACTTCTGAATCGACATTTCTTATGATAAACTGAAGTAAGCACACCATTCAAATTCATGATAATCGCCTTATCGTTGTCGATGCTGACTACTTCCCGATTTTTGCTACCGCAGAGGCCAGTCACCGTCATCGCCTTAGACACGTCCTTATGGATCGATCAGATCCACTAACCTCAGCACTAGACGCCTTCAGCTCTCGCACTAGGAGCAGGCTTAGGGACCCCGGTAACCGCACTCGTCGAACTCTGCAAAGAGTTCGACGTGCAACGTAACCTATACAAGCTCATAAGTCTCGGTTGCAGTTCTACTGAAAAAATCGAATCCTTTGTAACCAATTATGATGTTGTTTACTAAAGCCGAAAGCTTACAACGTAAAGTGGGCGGAACATTGACAATATTTAAGACAAATGTCTTTAAAAAATCTCATTTGTATATTTCTCGCCGGTTTTTTTTTTATTGCTAAGATGGGTGAACGAGCTCAAAGCCCATCTGGTGTTAAGTGATTACTGGAGCCCATAAACATCTACAACGCAAATGCGCCACCCACCCTGAGGTATAAGTTCTAAGGTCTCAGTATAGTTACGACTACCCCACCCTTCAAACCGAAACGCATTACTGCTTCGCGGCAGAAATAGGCGAGGTGGTGGTACCTACTCGTGCGGACTCACAAGAGGTCCTACCACCAGTAACCAGGTATGTTTATTGAGAAACATTGAGTGTGGCATAGTTCTTTTAAAAAAGTGATAATCCATAATTGAGCAACTACAGACACATCTCGCTTCTGGGTCATGTTCGAGAATCATAGCAAGTCGTTGCCTGTAGGTTAGATAAAGTCTAGCCTTTCCAAGAAGCAGAAAGCAGAAGCAGAAGAACGACTTTTAGATCACATATATATATATTTGAGTTTATACGGAATCTAAAGCAGTGTGTAAATGACGATATGAGAGAGAGAGAGGTGTGAGTGTTGAGATGCAAGGGAATGGAAGAGAAAAATTAGCTGTGCCTGGCCCACCTAGTGGGATAAGGTGGAGAAAAAGAAGAGACGGAATCTAAAGCAGTCTGCAGATTTGATTAGCGTTTGCAAGCTGGAATTCTTTTGGTTTAATCGAGACTAGGGACGCACTGGAATCACTTTATCATTGTCACTTTTATTTTTACCATTACTACAGCGACTACCAAAAAATGTTGTAATGTCGTTGTAAGTACTCCGTGTACATTCAATGGCGTGCTAGCGTTTGAATATTAAATACATTTCCGGAGATAGGTACAACATTGTAAATGATTTCTGAAAAAAGATCTCACACGCTACTCGAGTCTACGGCTACACAGAAATGACGTCAGCGACGTTTACCCAACTTTGCCTTTTCATTTACAAACAACTAAAAACATCTGGAAGACGGGATGAGTTGTCAAAAAATAAACATGTTTCACGTGTGAAGATATTAACGCGCTTCTTAAAATAGGAATTTTGTAAGAATTATTCTCTTTTGGAACGAAAAACATGCATTTCGCGCCATTAAAGCCATTTGCTGCGGTACGGTTGCCAAATTAAAAACAATGTCCACCACTACTTACTTGTTTTCACAGATACTTCAGAATAAAATAAAGAATAGACAAATATAAATATTAAAAAAAACGACAGATATAGATTGTATGAAGACGGCAATGATTTACGTTCGGTAAGAAAGATTACTTTCGTTGTCATAAGCTAACTGGTTTTTTGTTTTGAAAATGTCTTGTTTAATTATTATTTTGCTATCAATAAGCGTGATGTAGTAGAATAAATATGAAAAAAGTAGAAGTCTCTACTTTCTTTAAAAAAACGTTTCAAAATGTATTATGTATATAAATTATATTTGTAATATAAAAATAACAATGGGACTGAAAAAAATTGAAAAGAACTAATGATTTACAAGTAGAGGTCGTAATGTCTACGTTAGATTTAACTAATAACAATAACGATGACTGGAAACGAATTACACATCCGTCAGCGTAACCGGGCGGTAAGCTCACGGGGCTCAAACCTGACGTTGTTGCTAACACGAACCCTAGCAAGAGCCATGCTTCGCAGAATCTACGCGACCCACTGAGAAGATCCGGCGAGAAACTCTGTGAGCAGTGTGTGTGGGTTAATTAACTCACGGAGCCCTTTGCCGCAAGCGACCAGTGTTCAAACAATGTTGTCACGATGCAAATTCAAGAGGTATCCCTGGATACCCCCGAAACGATTGGGATTCATGCCGTCAATGCTTCCAACGGTGTTCAGTATTAGAGTTATTTGGAGGACAAGGCAAAGCTCTCTTCTAAAATATTAGGGGTCCTCAAAAGAGGCAAGCAGTATTTTACTTATGCTTTATAAAGCATAGGTCCGACTGCTTGTGGGGTATAGTGAGCCCACTGAGTTTCTCGCCGGATCTTCTCAGTGGGTCGCGTTTCCGATCCGGTGGTAGATTCTGCGAAGCACGGCTCTTGCTAGGGTTCGTGTTAGCAACGTCATCAGGTTTGAGCCCCGTGAGCTCACCTACAAAAGTTAGGGTTACGCTGACATAGCCTCTCAAGGCTCTCAGCTTAGGTGGGAAAAAAAAAAAAAAAAAAAAAAAGGGTATAGTGATCCCATCTCTGGGCCAAGGCTCAAAAATACCACTTAACTTGCCTTACTGGTGGTAGGACCTCTTGTGATTCCGCGCGGGTAGGTACCACCGGCCTGCCTATTTCTGCCGTAAAGCAGCAATGCGTTTCGGTCTGAAGGGTAGGGCAGCCGTTGTAACTATACTGAGATTTAAAAACTTATATCTCAAGGTGGGTAGCGCATTTACGTTGTAGATGTCTATGGGCTCCAGTAACCACTTAACACCAGGTGGGCTGTAAGCTAGTCCACCCAACTAAGCAATAATAATAAAAAATTCATTGCATTCCATAAGAGGAGTGCTGTATGGATTTCATTGACCGTATGGTACTTCTGGCTCTATGGCGGGATTTTAATTCTTTCTGTGTTTGTTACCGTATGTTCCATTGCGTTTCCCGGACCCTGATACATCACTCTAGAAATGTTTTTATTTGTTTTATTGCTTTGATAGGTGTACGAGCTTACCGCTCATCCTCTGTTAAGTGACCACCGGAGTCCATAGACATCAACAACGTAAATACTAACCACCTAGCTTGAGACATGAGTTTTAAATCTCAATTTTTACAGTACAATCGCTGCCCCGCCTTTCAAACCGGAACGCATTGCTGCTTCACGACAGAAATAGGTAGAAATAGGTGGTGATACCTACCCGTGCGAGCTCACAGGACGACCTACCACCAGTATAAAGTTTAAGATTTAAACAACGGTCCTAGACGGTAAAAAGCCTCTGGCTTTGCTGATCTCCATGACCTTTGATAACTCACCATGGGAGTTCGTATACGTTTCAACGTAACGGAAAAAAGCAAAATGCATTACAAAACATTTTAGCAGTGTCAACAATATAGGGCGGGGAATCAAACAATTCTCTTCGTTTAACATAAAGTCTGTTATAAAGTAAATCGATCTTAGTACTAGCATAATTAGATGTTAAACTTCATCATCGCCTTTGCAAGCCCACCCGAAGCGCTTCATTTTTTTCGGAGACCGAGGCTGACGGTTTTTACTATTTATTTATTATTCACAAGGGCTGGAATATTCATTTATTTTTAAGGAAGGATTACTGGTGCCCCGGAGGCCGTTCCAGTTTCACCAGGACAGGTAGTCGAGCAAAGGCTCAGCCAGGAGTGATAAGATTTGCTATCACGAGTTGGAATACTGCTATCATAGCACAAAGATCGACCAATAGGCGATCCGATAACATCAACATAATAATAAACAAAGCATTTATAAAGCATCACTACATAGTATAAAACAAAGTCGCTTTCTCTGTCCCTATATCTGTCTGTTCCTATGTACGCTTAAATCTTTAAAACTACGCAACGGATTTTGATGCGGTTTTTTTAAATAGATAGAGTGATTGAAGAGGAAGGTTTAAATATAAAATAACATCCATTAAATAGTGGAGAAATCAATAATAAATTACAGTTTCCGAAGCGAAGCGAGGGCGGGTCGCTAGTTTTAATTAAAACGAAACGACGTTCAATCACTATGAGAAGTTTGAGTGAAATTTTAATAATTAAATTACAATTTAAAACTCTTCGTTAGACTTCGTAGATACGCTTAGACTGCAACGCATCTTACGATAATAGACAATTTACTTTAGTCTAGTTTCAGTCTACATTCAATTCCTTTTCTTCAGTCGAATATGAAATTGGGTATTAAGGTGATTTAGAAAATCTTCAACCCTGAATTCAGAAAGGGCATTCAGTTAGTTACGAAGCGCTACAGTACATTGTCGTTGTACGTACGCAGCTTGGTACGGCACAGATATTGGTCGCGCGGAGCAGCTCGGTCGCGTGTGTGGACTCCCGCCATTTTCACGAGAAGAACAAAACAATTTTTATTAACTAATTCAAATTTTGTGACCGTGCTTTTTTTCGATTTTACGAAAAAAATTGTTGGAGATGATTGTTTTGTGACGTATGAAAACACAAGGTTTGTACCTTTGGTTAAATTTTACCAAATAAAAAAAATAGTGCTCGTAATACAATCAGTTATTTATTGAAATAAATCTGTAAAGCTACCTATCGCGGTCCATATGGCTAATTGATATCATCAAAAACTATTGCGACTATTGATGTCTAGCGGCATTTTATTTATTTTTATTTATTACACTTCATGTAAAATTTACACTGGCGGACTTAATGCCTAAGGCATTCTCTACTAGTCAGCCAAAGGTAAATAGCAATAGAGTAAATAGTGGTGGTAGGCAATGAAATTTATATTAAATTAGTGTTCCTACATAGAAAATGATATGGGCGATGGTTAAACTTCTATCAATTGTTCGCCGTCCAACATAATAAGTGCTAATAAAATAAAAAACGTCTATACTTGTTTATGGCTTACTGATTATAAAGAATAAAAAAAAATTCAAAAGATTTCAAACGAAGAAATCTGCAGTAGACGCGCCGTACCCTAGAGAATCTTGGATTATATTGGTCAATCTTTATTTTTAATCAAACGGATATCATTACTCAAGATAAGAATTAGGGGGAGAAAGCTAGATTTTAAATTCCCATTAATAAAAGATTCAATCACCACGGACGGCTGATGGAGAAATAGGAACTGAATAGTTTGGTAGTAGTAACACGGAGTTGTTAAGTCTTCTGGATAATCACCGTAATCGTCAATCGTAATTTTGTCCCTTCTAGTTTTGGTATAAATAGTCCGAGTTGTTACCAGTATTTTGCATATTGCTGCCGTAAAGTAATCATGGTTTCCAGTTTCCAATGACAGAGTAGCCTTATTAAAATATTATAGACTAAACTTTCACCTCAGGTTTTAAGGTGTGCGGGGGTATTTCAGCTTAAGCACATATATACTATCAGCTTCGGTGGCCAGCTAACATCAGGTGGGCCGCAAGGTCGTCTGCCAATCTAAATCAATAAAATACAAATATCAATTGATCAATACAGGATATTAACGTTCAATAACAAGATATCATATCCTACATCACAACCGACATTCGTATCGCACCCAAAAACCCAGGCTTTAGGTCCATTCTGCATCATCAGCCGACAGTTGCCCACTGCTGCATACGCGCCTCTGCTAATTTACGCCATGAAGGCCAATCTTCAGCTCTCCTCGTCCATTTCTTACCCATTCTTACTATTAATAAAAAAGTGAAGGATCTTTAGAGGTAGGTGATAAAATTTGAATTTTTTCATCTTCTAGCGAATATTTTACAACACAAGATATAATACACCCAACAGACCTTTTGAATATTGTTCCTACTTAAATTAATTATTTTAAAGATGATTCCCTTATTGCTATGCCCGATATGGCGCAGTTTTCAGGGGGAGCAGATCGCATATTTCGATACTAACCCCTTAAATTTATCTACACCCGCTCTTCTTTTGGAAACCGTTTCCATTCTTTAAATTAATTGTCTTATATTATCGTCTATTTTTTTTAATTATTAAAAAAACTGCTCGAGATTGTAGGTACTGTAAAATATTTACGAACGGTGAATGTATGGTTGGTATGCCCAATGCCACCAATGAATTACCTACTGCAGTAGAAGAACTCGGAGAAGTCGGAGATTCTGCTGAAAATAAAGTAACAATTAACTTTGATGACCAAATGACAGATGGCTTAAATACTAATGTATTATTCTTCATACTGTCTGAGACCCGCAAAAGCGTTAGAAAATAACTACCAAACTTATGAACATTAAAAATTAATTTTGTTTTAATTAATCAAGACCTTGGGCTCCCACGCGCTTGGCACCAACCACGACAGTGTAATTAGATATTACTACACATGTCTCTTATATGTTTCTGACACGGCACATTACACGTCATGCCCACTAGAAGAAAACGGTCGCAATTATGATTTATTAGAGAAACGAAAACAAACTGTAACCAAAAGTCATACAGGTGCTTGTCGCTGGGCAGATATTTAATGTCTTGAAATTTATTGTGATCCTCCAATCATATTTTTGGCATATAATGGACAAATTAATGACACAGCTAAGTCTACACCAGGACAAACAGTTGGATTTTTTATTTAATAGCAATAAATAATAACTACTTTAAAACTCGATCTCCACAAAATCTGCATCAATTAAGCACTTTATTCGGTTTTCGCGGTTTTTAATTAGTGAACATAATTAAATCGACTTTTATAATTTTCGTCGTTCATAACCAGGAGAACTGTAAAGTATTTGAAACGTCATAAATTATAAACAGGATATTGAACCGTAAAAGTGGCTTAATTATAAATATCAATTACCAGATGTATGACGGAGCACCACTCGAGAAGGGCTCGACCGATTTGGTTGATTTCCTTTTCGTTGTGTCCGTAATTGTCAGCCCAAGGTTTTTTGTCTACTCATCTGCTAATAGCTTTGAGGGGCTACTCCGATTTGACCAAGTGATCCAGCTCATGAGGTAGTGATTCGCCGAAACTGCCACCGGATCGGAATCGCGATCCAATGAGTAATGAGGAAATCCGGTGACAAACTCAATGGATCAGCATAGGGTTTCTATATATTTTTAATAAAATTGGTGATATTTCATATTATTAGTGACAGTAGACCGAGCTTCGTCAGTTATAGTTAGCCTTGTTTGTTTGTTTCTTCTTCTTCATCCTCTTATCCCACGTTATGTGCGGTCGGCGCAGCGTGTCTTTTCATCATGTTTCATAAGGAATTGGTATAAGTTTTCCGACCGGTTTTGAACTCGATACTAGCTATACGAACCTAATAAATGTGAAAATTTTGGATGATTGATCAAAAATAACGTACGTATTAACAAAAATTAATAAATTTACATTTAAACTGTTAAATGTTTGACATATTTATGCATTTGTTATAAAGAATCGCGTCCCACCTATTGTATTATTTATATTGATGATACCATGAGAATAGATTTCTCAGAGGCATCTATGACAGCTGTAAGCAAATTTCCAAACACCTGAAGAAAGTGCTATGCAATATCATACATTTTGTATTAAGATTTATCAAACAGAAATTTTATATATCCCTTTTTTAATTAATTATATTTTACATTAAAACAGTAATAATAGTTTTGGTAAAAAAACTATACCGTGTTTTGAAACGATTTCATAACATAGACGGGTAAGTGTATTTATTTTATTTGAACGTTATCTGTACCAACGAGAGAAAATGTACATTATAATAATGTTATAATGCGATATAAAAATATTTAGACTGCATTTTTATTTTGGAACAAATACATAGTTACGTTTTTAGTGCACCCACATAACGCGATAGTTTATTATAATTGGCCGATGTTTGCAGCTACGATCAAATAATGTATAAATTGTTTCTTAATATTTATTTTAGTATATCTTCGGCCCACTTCAGACTACGACTTCAGTGAAACAGATCGCATTAAATTCAATTAAATTTGTGGCCTTATATTTTCTGGTTAATATTTACACAAATAAAACGCAGATTGCGAGCAAAATTCGTAAGAGGTTTAAATGTTTATCTTTGCAAATTGCCGGATGGATCCCATTAGTTCTTTTTACGTGTGAGTTTCTTCTTGTTTCTGATAGCGTAGCTTGCGGTTTGAGGTAGGTAAGGATAGTGGTAGGAAAGACAAGTTATACGAGTATTATACATTATACTCTCAGACTCAAAAGAGAATCGAAGAAGAGAGAATTCAGATTAACGTAGATGATGAGACAAACTCACGATCATGTAAATCATATCATCACAAAGACATCATCATCCTAACAGCTCCGTGTATAAATGCGACATGGTTATGATTATTATTTTTTCGGGCAGGGAGCCGAACCTCATACGGAGTGCTGGCACCTAGGGGGCACATGGGGTTAGTGAGACTTGATGATCTATATGTGTCTTTAGAGCCCTGCCCAACCAAACGATTCCCTTTGCACTCTCCCACTCAACATCTGATCTCCACCCGGTCCCAGCTTACTGCTGCTAGAGTGTTAAGGGGGTTTTTCAAAGACGTTTCTGGTAGTAGGACGTCTTGAGTCCGCACGGGTAGGAACCGCCACCATGCCTATTTCAGCCGTGAAGCAGTAATGCGATTCGTTTGAAGGGTAGGGCATTTAAATATTTTAGATAGAACATCAGAGGAAGTGTGAAAGTAGCCCCGGTAATCAACAAATTAAAGAGCGGACGGTTAGCGTGGTATGGACATGTGATGCGTAGAGAGGAGATGCATGTGACTAGGAGATGTCTGGAAATGGTAGTGCAAGGTAGAGGGGGAAGAGGTCGACCGAAGAAGACATGGATGGAGAGTCTGAATGACGATATGAGAGAGAGGAGTGAGTGTTGAGCTGACGGCTGATAGAGGAGAATGGAAGAGAAAAATTAGCTGTGTCGACCCCACCTAGTGGGATAAGGTGGAGAGAAAGGAGAGGATTTAAATTATTTTACAATTACAACATTTTGTAAATATGTAAGTAGCATCGAGTTATTAATGGCAGCATTCGTTTATGAGCTACGAAAAGCATTTAATATCAGATGACTATCCAATTACAGCATTGCAAGACACTACAAATTGTCTTTCCTAAAACTCTGACTCAGTACGAACCTAGACACGATACTGGACGAGACGTGAAATCTCCTGAATCTGTCTAACAATAAGACAAAACACGCAAAGTAACTATGTTTTTATTTCGCATTATATATACAAGCAGTATGTGATGGTATCCACATATGCGTATATCTAGAAGCATACCAAAAAGCAATCAATTCATAAAGTAGGTAACATAAATACAATAATATGTTCTCGAAATAATTTCGGACGTACACATAGTAACTCCATTATAATGTTTCGAAGAAAACGAAATGTGTATTGTTTTACAGCTCATAATGTCCAAACATTCATACGACCGCACTTCGGTTGTTGTTTATGGTCGTTTGTGTAAATATAATTTAAGTAACATTGTTAACTATTGTCAAGTTAAGCAACTGATAGTTACTAGCTACTACTTTATAATCTATAGTCAAGAATCAAATAACATATTAAGTAAATAAAATTATTTGCTATTTAATTCAAGAAAATATGTTCTGCAAAAAGAAAACCTTTTAAAATAATATATTGACCAATTTTATTCGTAAATCGACCTCTTAAACCATCTTATTAATTTCAATAATCTTCATTAATGTTCTCTGTAAAATTGTGAGAAAATTATTTTATTTATTTATTTATGTACACACAGAAAAGAAGACATAGTACAGAGTAATAGGAAAATTATGTACAAAGGCGCTGCTTATTTCTTTAAGAAATCTCTTCCAGCAGACCTGCGAGAGGATTATGAGAATAATAATTAAAAGTGATGAGTGTGTGTAGAACAAATAACACACAACTAAAATAACAAATACAACATGAGAATTTGAAATGAAATTACCAAAACTTCCACGAATTTCTTGCTAAGACCCGAAAAGCCTGTCTTATTTCTTATTTTATCTCATTGTCTTACGCTTATTGTGTACTTTCAAAATTACCTACTGATGAGTAATCCGATATCTGAATAAATACAAGATTAGCAAAACAAAAAACAAAATTAATACGACATCGCTCTTCAACTTCCCGCCAAAAACATCTGTCACAGCCATAACACATCAAAACAGAACAAACAAAAAAGTTAGAAGGCAAAGGGAGCCCTTGCAACAACAAACATTCAGCCTACTTAGAAATGTAAAGACAGTAGACACTAACTATTCCCACTGGAACAGTAATGTTTGTCGTAAAAATAAAACGAACAATGCCGTTCTAATGTTATTTAGTGCCGTGCAAATGTCAAATTACACGGACGAAACTCTCAACGGGTTAACGACACACATAAAACTACTTCTCTTGATCTTTTCCAGTAAGATATTACTACAGAACCATACGGTTATATGTCTCAGTAAAATATTCAAATATAAACCTTACGAGACTTTTCTTAAGGTTATTTACAAGCATAATGACAGCATTATTTTTTCAGGCTTATATCTCATTTTTGATGCGAAGCAATATTGCGATCCGGGTTGATGGGTAGGGCAGACGCTGCTACTTTAAAATTGAGACTTAGAACTCATGTCTCAAGATGGGGGAGGCATTTATATTGTTGCTGTCTATGGGTTCCAGTAACCTCCTAACATCAGGTGGGCCGTGAGCTTGTTCACCTGTCTAAGCAATAAAAAAGGCGTGACTTTTGAAACACCATTCTCTTCGCTGAAATAATTTAACTTTTTGTTATACATTTATATATACATTTATTTATATTCTTATAGGATCGCGAAGTCTCAATTCAACCTCGGTTAATCATGGAAATGTTTTTTTTTTTTATATTTGTATCCGTCGTATGATTTACACCTGTGGTGAGCTACGAAGCTTTTTATCCTCCGACCCAGTTTTCCAACAGCGTCTTCAGTGAATTTTGCAATAGTGTTGTAAAATAGGATCCCGCAGTTCTCTTGATTTGGCTGTTCCTTGCCTACATTCTATAACATACAATTTGACGGGAACGAAAGCGTTCCCACCTTTATTTAACAAACAAAGTCAATCTTAAGTCTAAGCGTAGATCGCGGCTATCCCTCATTTTATCCCGTGACGTGAAAAATGTAAGACAAACTACATAATTAATACAATTTACGAATAACTTCTAGTTCCGATTAATTTTCCACTATGTGATATTCCGTGAGAAACGTGTTCTTAATATAAAAAATATTTTATATTTAGAAACGTGTTGTCAACCATTTTTTTTTTGCTAAAAGCAATCCCATTTATTAACCGGCCGTTACGTTTGGAATTCTATTAATTTTAAAAATAATTTCCTTGATTGTATTTATTTATGAACGAGGGCGCTTTCGTCAGTCGCATGTTGAAAGCTCCCGAATTGAGTTGACGAGAAATATAAGTTTTCGTTTTTTTATTTTATTGTCTCGATGGGTGGACGAGCTCACGGCCCACCCGGTCCTAAGTGGCTAACGGAGCCCATAGATATCTACAACGTAAATGCCGCCACTCAACCTGAGATATGAGTTCTAAGGTCTTAGTATAGTTACAACGGCTGCCCCACCCTTCAAACCGAAACGCATTACTACATCACGGCTGAAATAGACGGGGTGGTGGTACGTACCCGTGCGGACGGAATTACAACAAGTAATTCAGTCTTTTCACCCAGTCCTTCTATATTTTCATCTGGTTTTTTTTCAGTGGCGCCTTTGGCGACGCTTTCACATTTATTAGGAGCTTAAAAAATAATGCTAGCATCTAGTAGTGCAAGTCGATTGACAAAAGTCTTTGCCAGACTATGTAGTCCATGATAGGCTCTTTACGGAACTTATAATAATATATTAATATATTTATAATATATAATAATATATTTAGCCGGCTCTGTATTGTTGTACACGAGCGTGCATCTATATCAATCTATGAGTAACGTTTTCCTCACCATTATTAAATCCCTGCTTTTTTGGCATAGTCTGCAAACGAATTCACAGGCTACTGATTCTAGCCTGTCACTATTGAACAAATTCACTGAAAAAAAAACCCTCCTCAATTCACAATTATACGTCTGGACTGAAAATTTATAAAACCATGTTATTCCTTCATCGTGGATCTCGTTCAACACGATTTGGCACGCAATTAGTTAGAAAAATTGGCAACTGACCGAGTATCGACCGGGGAAGTGACATGACTACACGGCACGTCTTACCCATTAGGCCACGAAGGCAAACAGCGTTTATAACGTGACTAATACGTTGGATTAAAATCTGACAGCTGTAAGCCATTCACGTTGTCGCGTCTGACATTTTAATGTTTGTTTTGTTTCAGGAGTGTCTTCGCGACGACATGAACAAGAAAGGTCACAAGAAGAAGGTACGTATCTCCGAATTATTTAGATTCGTTCATATTCGTTCTATTTTGTGACATCTACCACTACACGCTAGATCAGTGGTGGGCAAATATTTTTAAATTGTTCGAGATGATACCAGCATCTCGTTTTTACCATCGCACCGCCCGCCACCGGAGTAGAGTTCATCCATACTACCTGGAGCCACTGCGATCATCCACAGTGCGTTTCCAGAGATCTTTTTTGCCACGTACCATTCGGCTATGGAATGAGCTCCCCTCCACGGTGTTTCCCGAGCGCTATGACATGTCCTTCTTCAAACGAGGCTTGTGGAGAGTATTAAGCGGTAGGCAGCGGCTTGGCTCTGCCCCTGGCATTGCTGAAGTCCATGGGCGACGGTAATCACTCACCATCAGGTGGGCCGTATGCCCGTCTGCCTACAAAGGCAATAAAAAAAAAAAAAAAAAAAAAATGGCGGGCCACAAAGTTTAAGAAATTCTAGAGGAGGTCAAGAATTATTTTAACAAACAAATTGCTTTTTACTTTTACGCCTTGCTAGACGTTTGAGACGTGAGGCGTGTGATAGATAGGTGAAAATAATGTTTTGTTTTTTTTCAATAAATAAACTAATACCTGTGACAGACTGCCAAGATAATTATAATGATGGCAAATTAATTATGAGATAATGAAAGCTCAAAACACCCCTGACGATTTGGAGCATTCATAAAAAATTCGAAGATTTTCAATTATAAACGTCAGATTTTATTTTACGCGCCAAAATGCTGACTAGAATATTTAGGATGGATGGACTCTCGGCGGGCCGGATTAATACTTCCGCGGGCCGTACTTTGCCCATCACTGCGCTAGATAAATAGATTCGTTTGGACAAACGAAATTTTAATTTTCAGATTGCAATATTATTTGAATAAAAACAAATAATTTTGTATTTTTTTGTTCATGATTTATGCGTTCCCCATTTGTAATGTCTATGGACGCGGTCGCTTAGCATTGGGTTGAACGTTGGGTCTTCAATCAGCCAAACAACCGAAATAATAACACTGCTGAGCAAACTCTCAGTAAATTAAAATAAAAAGGTCAACGTACTCATAAATCTTGATTCTGTTACCGAAGCCAATTGTGACAGCACTTTATCAATCACCAGAGATTACACACCGAGCCAAATGGCAAAAGCCATCGAGGAACCGCGATGATAGTGGACATTGCCAATACCATCCCAACTCTTATTGCTTAAAGGAGATCGTTGAAGAGAGAAAAGAACGCGTGTTGTATTTACTTTGTGTTAGTCGAATTTATAATTATGAAGTTTCTTCTTGCCACCAGTGAAATAATGCCAAAGAAAATATTATAAGCTAGCTGACCCGGCAAACTTCGTAGTCAATCGAGAAATAAAAGACCTAAGCTTTTGTATAAAATAAACTTAAAACAAACAACAAAAGGAATCCGTCCGACGGAGGTTTTTTTTTTATTCCGAGCTTTTTGATAATTATATAGATTATCTTGATAGCGTAAACGGTGCTAAGATTCGAGCTTACTAAGCCGAAAGTCACCTCAAAGCCATGAGTCAAATGCTTATTTGATCACGATTAGTACGAACATCCAAAATTAGATATAACACATTAAAAATTCAGCTTAAATATATATTTATCAAACATTTCAGTTGCACATCAAGCAAATACACAAGTCAAACAATTCATTTTAATGATTAAAAGGCACTGAGCAATAGAATCAACAAGATACTGTATTTTTTTCTAGTCGAAACAACTGTTAACCATATTGTTTTAACAAATAAACAAAAAAAACATCAAAGTGTGAAGTCATATATTATCCAAGGCTCACATCTAAATAATTGTTTTCAACACAATGCACCTGTACGTCGTAAATTTAGCGAACTGGATTCGGAATACGCTATTATTTTCTTTCTTTATTGCATTGGTCTAGAAGTCTACAGTGGCGATCCGGTAGCATATAATACAAATTAAATGGACATTATTTCATTTCCCGACAATCTTTTCGGCGAAAACAATCATTTATTGAGCGGTTATTCTTGTTCCCTTGTTGAATATTCCCTAACTCATCTTTTAAACAAATCTTATAGATAGCCTAAGTTCCAAATGTAAGACAAAAATATTAGTGTTTCCATTAATTTAAGTATACTGTTCGCAAACCCATTAATGAAATGCAATATATGCAAGTAAAAGTGCCCACCTTGTAGGCCTCCCACAAGGTGGGCCGACGACCTATTAAGGTTCGCGGGGATCCGCTGGATGCAGGCAGCGCAGGACCGGTCTTTGTGGCGAGGCTTGGGGGAGGCCTATGTCCAGCAGTGGACGTCCATGGGCTGATAGATAGATATGCAAGTATTAATAACGCAGGCCCTTGAGAATGAGATACATATCATTTCGAGTTGGCAAAATGCTCTGGCAAGCGATTCAGCCACAAAATATTAGTTTAGGGCGCAATTTCAGTTGACGCAGCATTATTTGCATTTTGTTGTTCGTTAGGATAATTATTATGAAGTTATTTAATTTTCTTATAGTTTTTAGTTACCAGATGTTTTCGTTTATGTATTGTTACGCACTGGGATTCGGGATAAGTAAAATTCCACCAAAGCACAACTAAAAACTGTATTCAACACTTAGAACACATAAAACACTTTAAAATTCTCAATTCGCTTCTTTCGCTTCGCTTCAGGTGATCCGTTCGCTGTTTCGCTTTGAGCAGTTCCGATTACTAACTGCGTGCCATCTCTGCAACGCTTTTATAGCCGATACCACATCCCTAGAATTATCGAAAATATTCCACACATTTCCAGTATTGTGTTTCCGTGTTATCTGACAATAGATGGCGTTGTACTTCTCGAGCGTTCTCGGTGCTACTAGATCCTTCAATATTCGTTCGACTATTCGGCGATAGATGGCGTTACTCTTACCGGCGTAACAGTATTAACGGTAATTTTATTATTAGTCTGTCTAAGAAAAGACTGGATCTTCATTCGATAGGGAGTCGTCTACATTCAGAGATGGCGTACCCGTCTCACGTTGTCTGTCTCCGGTATTCACTTCAAACTTTGTTGAGTCGCGGGGTCGTTCACTTGACTACGCAATAAAAAAAAATGATTCAATGCCGAATGGACAGCATCATTCTCTGATTATTATGCCAACAAATTGCGATTGCCAGCCAGCACACACTGGTGGTAAGGCATAAGACCGCACTCGTAGCTACCACCTACCCATTTCTACCCCGAAGCCGTCATGCATTCAGGTTTGAAAGGTCGGACATGCCTCAAGTAGGGAATCCATTTTTTAGCGTCTATAGGCAGTGGTGCTTTACACAATTTTGTACATAATACACCAAATAATTTAGCAATAAATAAATACCATTATCTTTTTTCGGATCATTAAATAGTCTGACAGCGGAAACCACTGCGTTCATCCATAGCGTATTTCTATGTATATTGTTTGTTCCGTGGCTTCCCATTCTGGGACTAAGCTCCTGCCCACAGTCGTGATCGTTATGAGGTGTCGTTCATAAATGGTTGTTTTGAAAGAGTGCGTGCTTGTAAATAGCACTTGATTTTGTCGATATCAATGAGCAATGGTACGAAGATCAAAAGAGCCATCGGGTCGTTGATCCTCATAAAAAATATATCTGAAGAGGCCTCATATCATTAAAATTTAATCAAAACATCGCTAAATTTTTGGCATTTCGGTATGTGGATCTGAAGCGCGTCATGTAGGACACACATGCGCGGGACACATGCCAAATGAATGCGTTTTATTATACATACATACGTTACAGATCCGCTGTTGTCGAAATTCAATTAGTTTTTTTTCAATGAATTCGGTATGCGGATACAAGGGATATAAAAAAAAAATGTGTGCGTGTACTAGTGTACACACGTAAGAAGTGAAACATTAATGCTATCCCTACTCCGTTGGAGAAAGTGAAAGTACTCTTCGTCTGAACCAACCGTGGTAGGGGCAAGAAAAAGATGGCGCGTAACGGAAAAATGTGACGCGTAACCGAAAAATGTGACGGTAAATTTTTTTCCAACGCCGATAAAGAAGTTTCACTTCAAAAAGAACTTTTGTTGTCAAAAGAACTTGCTTAGGGCATTGCTTTAATTTAGAAGAATTTTGTATGAAGAAAATCTCTGGAATTAGTTGCTGATAAGTTCATGGACCGATATTCTAGAACTACCTAGAATACCTAATACCTAGAAGACATTCCAAGATCATTGACAACAGGTTTTGATAGATGTGCTATGCCTTTTTGCTATGATGGGAAATCGACCGCCGACCTACCTGAAGTTTTTCTGGATTCTGATGTGTGAATTTAATTTTATTTATTTATTTTATTTTTATTTATCCAAGACTTCGCGTATATTGGCTCCTTTAACCATCCGTATGTCTACCTCATCAAGAAATTTGTGCATAAAACTGAGTATAAAATTTTCATTTGTATAAAAATATTTTCAAACAACTCCGAAGATCACAGAAATTATGAAAAAGCAATTAAAACCAGTTTTACTGAGTTTTTCGGAGCAGCCGCCAAAACTCTGGGGCCGGCATTGACGATGTTCGATACGCGATGACAGCACGTCTCTGGGCCGAAAAATTAGAAAAACATTGAATTTATCGTTCATTTAACGGTTCACTTGTCTCGTCGCGAGCTGCGACAGGAGGATGAGCATGTCTTTGATCTCATTATTGTGTCCCGTGGTTGAAGCTCAAAACCATCGCGTGCCAGTCACGGCTTCTATGTTTTTGTTTGACTAAAGACAGCCAAGTTGTTTTCAACGGAGTTGCAAGGGGTCGTCTTGGTTTGTTCAGTTTTTTTAAACCAAGAACTAGTCCGACACGGTCATTCGGCCCCAAATTACGATTTATCAGAAACTAGCGACCCGCCCTCGCTTCGCTTCGGAAACATTAAAACACACATGAAACAAAAAAATAAAATAAAAAAATAATTAAAAAAAGTAGCCTATGTTCATCAGGAACAATGT